AAGATAGAGATTTCTGGTTAATGCAACAAGATAGAAGATTCTGTATAGTTTTTTTTTTTTTTTTGGCTTGTCAATTTTAGTCTTTAATTTTTACGAAATTTGAAAATTAAAGAATAGTTAACACCCCTTTCTATAGCATGCGATTATGATAAGCAATGCATAAAAATCATTTGGAATATAAACTAAACTGATTTTTTAAAAGACAATCTGCAAAATATCCATTTTTAAGAAGTTATTTTAAAAGTTAACTATTACAGTGTGTGCTTATCATTTGGACATTTTTTTGCTTACCAGGTTTTTGCCTACTATTTACTATGCTGTTCCAGAGAAATGGAACAAGTTTTATTAGGTTCACAATAAAAGTCTAGTCTGAATTCAGTCCTTTCCCTTTTTAAAGTTAATGGCTTCCCAGATGGCTCAGCGGTAAAAAACGCACCTGCCAACGCAGGAAATGCAAGAACCGCGAGTTAGATCCCCGGGCCGGGAAGATCCCTTGGGTAGGAAATGGCAACCTGCTCCAGTATTCTTGCCTGGACAATGCCATGGGCGGAGGAGTCTGGCGAGCCACAGTCCACGGGGTCGCAAAGAGCCAGACACGACCGGGCACGCGCACATCGCTGCTTCACAGCGCGGTGTCGAGTTTCTGCTGTCCGCAAAGCTGTTTCTTTTAAAGCGCTCTGTTAATAGTGGGGCGCAGCCAGTTAACCGCGCTGTGATACAGGACAGCCGGGCCTGCCCCCCGAGCACGGGGCCGGCCAGGAGCCTCCGCGGGCTCCCAGGTGGGCCAGAGCCCCGCGCGCAGGCCACTGCCGAGCGTGTGAGCACGTGTGGCCCTGTGCCCCTCCACACTCCGCACGGCCCACCTTCTACACTAAGATTCAGTATGCTGCTTCGCGTTGTATATTTTGGGGAAAGTGAGAGTCGCTTAGTCGTGTCAGACTCTTTGTGGCCCCGCGGACTGTAGCCGGCCAGGCTCCTCTGTCCATGGGACTCTCCAGGCAAGAACACTGGAGTGGGTTGCCATGCCCTCCTCCAGGGGATCTTCCAGACCCAGGGATGGAACCCGGGTCTCCTGCATTACAGGCGGATTCTTGACTGTCTGAGCCACCAGGAATTTGAGACGTTTTGGGGAAAGCTTTGGGTATAAATCAGTTTAAACTTGTAGGAGAGATTTTTCTATCATGCAGAGTAGGTATTTTTTGTAGACTGAAGATTAATCAATTTTTTAATACTTCCGAGAAAGAAAAGTATTTGTGTATAGACAGGAAATATATATATATATATGTACAACAATAAACATGGAACTCGACTCTCTGCACCCCCTCCCAAGAAAAGGTTGTGATAGTTTCCGGTGGGCAGCCAGCGGCTTCAGCCACACATGTACACGTATCCATTCTCCCCGAGGCTGCCACACTGAATCAGCTATATGTTTTCATATATCCCCTCTTTTTTGGCTTTTCTTCCCATGAAGGTCACTATAGAGCATTTGTATATAGTTCCACACGACTGAGCGACTGAACTGAAACTGAACTGAACTGAAGATAACATGAAAAATCACTGCACCTAAGTGCCATATAACAAAGAACTGAAAAATCCATGCCCTTCTTTAAACGCTAATTCAGATCATTGTGTTCCACTGACTTAAACGCTTTCTGGTCTCAACATTAGATTTAATATAAAGTCCCAGGACATGATAGTCCTTTTAATTTTCCCTGCAGAGCAATGGCTGATGACAGTCACCTGTCAGCTTTACAGTCCCTCCAAGCTATTGCCTTGTCATTTAAGTGCCTTTGGATCGTAGGATGAGACGCCCAAAGCTACCAAGTGAATGTGAACCTTCTCACTCCAGTCACCATTATCTGTTTTCTCCAGGATTCACAAAGCAAAGCTTTACTTGTAAATTGTCAGCGACACTCTTCACATTTCCCCATGAAATTTCACCTGCACTCACGTACTTTTAATCTCTCAAGCCAGAGGAGTTGGCTTGAGATGATGATGACTTGAACTAAGCTTTCAAGTCTCTGTTAGCCAGTTATTGACAAGCTTACCCATTTCCCTCTGTTTTTCACGTATGAAGTTGCTTCTCTCAAAGGATATCCCATTTCCATCCAGAGACTGGAAGAGTATCCGTCACCAACTCCAGTGAAATAGCTTCCACCATCACACAGAAACACACACATGAGCACATTACGTGTCACATACCTGTACACACATAAATTCTTTCAACTTTGGAGGTAAATCAAGCTGGCTACGTCAGATGCATAGGACAAGAATGTCAAACTGACTCACATGTATTCTTGACATTCTCTTTGCAAATTTATTCCAGCCATCTCATGTACCTGATGGTCCATGATGTTTACCCAGCAGACTTGTAATTAGTTCTGCTCATTTCATATCCTCTAATAAATCTATGATCTGAAAGAAGAAATCTTATTTTACCATGACTTCCGATAGATCACCACATCCTAACAAAAAATCCGGCTACCACATGTGCCAGCTAATTAGTTATAATAGTTTGCACGGCCACAGCCCTGAACTAACTAACACCCACCACAGTCCAGCAGCAAGAGCCGGCATGTGTGGAGAACCTTCTCAGCTACAGCTGAGGCCTCTGAGGTACGACGTTTCCTAAACAAGAAGCCGACTGCCCCGGTCAGTGTGAAGCTGGCTATTCGTCAATATCCTCTGTGTTCCTTCCACTTGGTGGGACAATCTCAAAGACTGAGCTTCTCAGGAACACTCTGGAACATGGAAGTGTCGCTGACAGCAAGCATGGCAGCCTCTCCTAGCATCTTCTCTAAAATGCATGTAACAGCTCACCCAGGGTTTTCCGCTTTGCGGGCAGAATCACCAACTGTGTGTGTCATTTCAGACACACACAACATTTAGAAAGATGAAAATGCTTAAACTCTCCACACTACACTTTCACTCACTTTCCAAGTACATCATGGTCTTCCTTCAGGAGAAATCAATTACAGTGCCTCAACAGCAGTAAGCTGTATCAACAGAAATTCAAAATAAAAAGTGTCAGGCATACCAACATCCCCAAACTCAGACTTACATGAATCTCGAGACTAAGACTTCCTAGCAGTAGAATTTTCACTAATAAATTATTTTAGAAGATACCATAAGGCCAAGAATAATCAATGATTTGATTCAATAATTCAAGAAGCAAATATTCTGAAATATATTGGATTTATAGATGATAATTTAGATTATATTATTTTTCCAGAAGTAGCATCGATTCATTAATTCTTATAATTGTTTTTAATAATGCATGGAAATTATTTATTATACACAAAATATATTTGAGGATTAGTAAATCTGGTCTATATTTTTCAAGTTCTCCTGCAGAGAGTACACACATTCAAAAGGCAATGGAACAGAACAGACAGAATCATGTTTTTCTTCTTTAATCCAGAAGGAAAGCTGGAAATCACCTAGGCCTGTTCTCCATTGTACAGCCAAGGAAATGGAACTCACAGGTGACTTCCCCAAGATCACCTGGCAAGTGAGACGGATCCAGGGTGCCAATCTAGGGCTTTCATGACCATTTTCAAAAGAAAAAGTCAACTTTGAAAATAATGAGCGACTTGATTTTACAACATTCATCAGAGCAGTCGCTTTTAATATCAGTTTTAGCCAAAGTAATATATTAATACAAAGAAGGAAAAAAGTTCCTTTGAGGGTCCACTGGAAAGAGCCAGCAGTGGGCTCTCAAGCTTGCCAAACTAAAGGCCTGATCCTCCCTCTTCAGTCCGAGCAGTTATAGACAGGAGTTACACTTGTCTGGAGCAGCCGTTCGTTATCAACAAAAATAGGATCCTCCAGCCCAGGGATCCACTTTCCTCCCCTTCCCCAACAGAAGACAGCTCACTTTGTCCACTGCTTCCCTGGGAGTGCAATCTTTGTGATCTATTTTCTCACTTTTCACCCCAAGCACCCTCCACTTGGATTCACTAAACCATTTCTGATATAATTCTTTCGCCCTTACTCAAAAGTCACTTGCTTGAAATAAGGAAGGTTCAGGATTCCATCAGTGCGTGGATCATAACTTGGCTAAGAAATGCTCGTGCTGGCTAAAAAGAGACAGGTGACAGTCTTTTATGAGTCAGGTCAAGAAATCCAGTGCAGAGAAATACAAAATGCACAGGAAGGCCAACAAACATCCTGAGATGTCAGGAAAAGTCAAGAAAAGATTGCCCCCTAGAGTACCCGTTACTTAATATGTAATTTTTCTTTATAAAACCATCAGCAGCTCCAATTTCCAGGAAATTAACCAACTCATTACTTAAGACCTGGTCAGTTAAGCCTCCTGGATCTGCACAAGGAGCTCCTTTATAAGAATTCCCATACTGCTTATGGCAGAGTGTATATTGTAAAAGGAAACTCTTTCACTTCAGTTCTGTTAGTTAAGTCATGACACACACTGAAAACTTACCTCTCCTTGGGCCAAAAGGAAAATCAGGGAGAAGTCAATCCCATAAGCTCTTCTAAGCACCTCCTCTCATATTTTTCCTGTTTTAGGTTAAAACTTAACCTCATAGTCCTGAACTTTCATAAAAACAGTTCCCTGTCTTTTTTTTTTTTTTCCTTCCATCCCTCTTTTTCTCAAGGTCAGAACTTTCTGGACACATATACTAGATCTCCTATCATATGACAACAAATTACACTCACAATATCTTTACTATCAAGTCAGCACCTGTTCTCACCACTTCTTTTTCAGGCTTGTCCGTTCATAAGAGCTTTAATGTTATCTTAGCATTTATGAATTCAGAGGACAGAGATTTAAACAGTCGGTGAAGCAGCAGGAAGAGTTCATAAAATGTTCTCTTACTAAACCACGTTCCCCCATCTGAACTGGACAGAGAGTGATTTTATTCCAGAGATGGCATGAATTAGTTACACTGCAAGATTAAAGGTGCATTTTTTAACAAGTGGACATTGGTCACTTTCAATATTTTAAAAGCATTGGAAATGGGCACAGCTGCTACACATACCTGTAGGAGGACCTTCATCCCATCCTTCTGCCCTCTTAATTCGATTTGCTGTGAATCCTAAGCAGATATTGACACCAACAGCAAAAGTGAACAAAGATATTACCTAAGAGAAGAAAGAGATCGAACTGTCAGTGCAGCCAGACAAGCCTAAATCAGATTCCACAGAGGCAGTGCAAATGACTTCAGCATCACCATCCAACCCTGCAGCTTCCCAAATGCACCCTGCAGTGCTGTCTTCATTTTAAAAGCAAAAAGAAAATTCAAAATCAGCAAGCAACTCTGAAGGTCAAGGCTTTCCCCGTCATGCTCGCCTTCTCCTACCTGATAGAGCTGGCATGAGCTTCTCCTGGCCATGGCAGGGGGTTCTTGGAAAGCCTGTGGCAGTGCGTTCTGTTTGCCCACACTGAATGCGCTGCTTTTTGGGGCTCTGAGTCCAGTCTATTAACTACAAGTAATCCCACCTGGGAGGTTGACAGGCTCCTCTGATTTGTCCAAAGCTCGATTTCATCACAGTTTGTTCGCAAATCGCAGCCCTGAGCCTAAGAAGCTTGAAACATCACTCTCGGTCTCTCCACCCCCCGCCCCGATCGGTCCCTCCCCTGACACACAGATACTTTCATGTGGTTTCTTCTGGTAACATAAGGGTTTCTTATGTTGCTGCAGCCAATAACCCTGCATGTTCATTTTCCTTCCCTCCTGAAAACATGGTTTTTTAAAAAAAGAAACCAAATGCATTTTATCCGATAAAAATGAAACAGAGCCACAAAAGGGTTTCTACCAGCTTTAAGCTTTTAAGGTTTAACAATGTGGTTATTCAACGCAGTCAACCTCACGACTTGATGTTTTTAAAAAAACAAGGAAAGTTTTATAATTTCTAAACCTACTAACCCTCTGTCTTGCCCATTTCTTTATTTTTCTGGCAGTATAAATGACCCTGTCCGGTCTGCCACATTCTCAGCGACTCCCGGCTCCTCAAACATTTCTCACCATGAAACCTCCCACGATTGTAACAAAACACGAGATAGCATTCTGCTTCCCCGTGTTGTCCTTAGAGTTCAGAGAAGTAACATTTATCAAAATCCTGGGAATGCCCATGAAGCCACACAGAGTTCTCCTGCCTTGTGAGGAGGAGTACAATGACTTCAGGTCTGCCTGCCTCTTCCTCCTGAAGAAACCATCAGCTTTGGGTATAGGTTTTTCGCTTTGTTTCAGAGGGACTGGGGAGCAGCAAGGGTGGGATGGGGGGAGGCTTGACTCATGACTGACGTGAGGAAGGACATCTCGGTGGCAGCAAGAATTCAGGTCTACAGAACTGTTTCCTTAGGTTTTTCCCCAGATAAATTATCATCTAGCTACCAAACACTGTGCCTTTGATGCTATTGTGAGGCTTAAAGTCTTTCTACTGAGCTAGCTAGCCACCAGGAGACTTCTCAAAGAAATCAAGCCCACAAAAGCTGAAAGTTCTTTAAATACTGTACACTTGCAGGATTCAAACGGGGAGGAAAGCTTATCTCTGGCTTTTCTCTGGCCAGACCCGGGGAGCACGGTGCTGCGCAGAGCATATGGGTGTATGTAAACAAACGGCGCGTTCTATGCAACGGCGACGGAGGAAGCAGGGGCTCTGCTCGAATAAAACCCCACAGCACAAAAGCCAGAGCTTGTTTACGGTGGGCCGCACAGTAGGTCTGGGTTTCATTAGACATTCCAGAACTTAGTAACAGCTAATTGAGAAGAAGAAAACACAGTGCCAAACTTTCAGCTGCCTCTCTCAAATCCTTTTCCTTCTGCACTCTTACAGAGATGGCAGGCTGATGGATCTTTCTATAGAAGTCTCTTGCTTCAGTCTGCATGCCATACTGAAATGATTTGGGGTCGGGTGTTTAGCAAGGCTTATGAAAGATGTTAACCCCACGTAAGATTTTTCTACTCTTTATGTTCAGTTTCAAGATGCAGGCTTTTACAGAGGAAGCTATCAAGCTAAAAGGGAAGTATCAAGGCAGTCCTGTGATTGCGTTGTTCGCCACAGTGGTCCAAACGTTCAACCTCCTCACCAGCCTCGCCAGCCCTCATCGGAGTTCAGCAGCTTCAGAATCCGTCTGATATTTGATGGTAGAAACCCAGCTTGAGGACAATGAAAGCTCCCCTTGGAGAATAATTAGACTCAGAAGCTGAACATTATCCATTCACTTTTTGGACAGGCAGAGGAGCTGTGCGGGGGAGAAAGTCTTACGTGTAACAGCCAGAGAAATGAAATGTGTGTGCTAGTTGCTTAGTCGGGTCCACCTCTTTGAGACTGCATGGACTGTAACCCACCAGGCTCCTCTGTCCATGGAATTCTCCAGGCAAGAATACTGGAGTGGGTAGCTAGTCCTTTCTCCAGGGGGTCTTCCCAACCCAGGGGTCGAACCTGGGTCTTCCACATTGCAGGCAAATTCCTTACTGACTGAGCCACCAGGAAGCCCAGCTTGATCCATAATTGACTTCTGTTCAGCACTTGTTACCAACTATCTAAGAGGACTGAATTCAACCTCTATTTCTGATAACCATTCGGCCAAAGCACTTTATCTCCTATGGTCATTGTGCACAGAACACATTCACACACACACACCACCCGACCATTGTCACAGAGTTTCACTAAAAGACATCATTACAAACTGCCTGTCAGGGGGATGACCCAAGTCCCTTCCTCGGGCATCTAATCAACCGTAAAATAAAATTAGCCCTCATTATCTAAAATTGAGAAAACTGAAAAACCTGATAATGCATACTGCATGTCTAGAAATTCAACTAAGATGACTGAAATAGAGTCCGAAACCTTTTATAACAGAACTAAGTCAAGAAAGTTCACCTGTGCTGGTATTGAAGATTTGGGCATAAGGTCACTCGTGGTTGGGTCAGTAAATAAGAAAGTGTACGAGAAAGACTAAAATTAACTTTCGGCTTGGTTTATTAATCCAGCCATACTTCAGAGAACACTGCCCCCTGGCAGAGGAAAACCCAAACAGATCTTAACAACAGTGTCAGGCCTGAAAAATCATTCTGTGATTCTCAAGCTTTACTGGGCATAAGAATGACCCTGGAAACTTGTTTAAAATGTTGATACTTATGGTCTAAACCCCAAGATTCCGAACCATGAGCTCCAGGAGATGAGGAGAAGAAAGGGAAAGTTTAGAGCCAGGCAAGATCTAAGACAATAGGCTCCTCTGAGGCAATGGAAAGGCCACGTTCTGACACCAACGATGTAAGAATAGAGCATTAGAATAAGTTACTCTGATCAATTAACCGACGTCCCGAATATTGACTTGCCTGGCCTAAATAACAATGTAATCTTAATATATCACTAATATCATCCACTACTAGTTGGACGTTAAAGTTTACATCCCCAATGGCAAACCATGCTGGTTCTTCCCCACTTCTTCCAGCTCCAAACTGTAAGCAGTGAAACAGTCTTCTATTTACTTTGCTGGTGGCACGACACAGCCAGGGTGTGCACCGCTTAATTGTAATACAGTAGCCGCATTTACACAAATGCACAGCCCATCGTTTCAGGGCATGCTTCTGTGAGTCCTTGTTTCCAAGCCCTGATTACGGTAAAGGGGTTTGAGGTCAACAGTGAGATGTGAAAAAATCTGTAATTGAGGGTTGTCATTCTTGCCTCCTCCTGTAATTAGGAAGCATTCATGAACGGATTCAAACTTTATCAATATCCAGCTTCTCACTGTGCAGAATCAACTACAGTTACGGTGCCTTGACGTGACTCTATTCCCACAGTACTTCTAAGACTACCAGACGGTCACTGACCACCTGATTTTCGGGGGCAACACTTAAGCAGTCACTGCAGCACAAACACCAGGAAATTAAGAAAACAGAACCACGTGCATTCTTCCTTTGAGTTAAGCCTTATTTTTCAGTTCTGCTGTGGTTGAGAACTATTAGAAAATTCAGAATAAACACCGGACAAGAGGCTCTGCAGAAGGGATTTGCTGGTCTAAATGGAGCAAAAAATCATGACAGCTAAGACAAAACCAAGCAGGCTCAATTGCTCTCACAATCCAGCACTGCCTGGGTATAAAGTGGACTCCACTTAAGAGTTTAAACCACAGGGGCAACGTTTTATGAGTAATGTATGGTCCCTGGGGGTTTCGCCAGTGAGAAGTGGCATATGCCTTTTCAAATGCCAACAGGACTTGCGTTATTAGTTATTACACAGTTGAAAGCTGAAATCAACACTGTCACCTCTTTCAGTGACTTCCATTTATATCATAAACATCTGTGCATTACATGTACTCTCAATGGGATCTAAGCATGAGCCCCTATAACGGAACACTCTCTAAGAACATGCATTCATGGCACAGATGTTCATTAGCTCCTACTGTGTGCCAAGCACTCTTCTGGGCACCAGGTCCACACAAGGAGCCAAACCAAACATAGTCCCTTGGCCTCCATATGATTCACACGGACACAGAAATAACCGGAAAATTGCAGCTGTGGCAGGCGTCGATGTATAGGTGTCAGTGATGCTATGAGAACACATGACCCGGCTTTGATGTGGTCGTGAGGGCTGCAGAAGACTTTGTGAAGTGTCGGCTGAGCTGTGATACGAGGGTAGAGGGGAGTAGAGAGGAAAGAGGAGGAAAGGCTTCTCGGGCAGAGCAAACAGGATACACAAAGGCTCTACACACCCTGGAGGCAGCATGCCTCCAGCCAAAGGCAGCCCATTCGACCAGTGCAGGGAGATAAAAGGGAGCCAGCAGTGAAACGAGAGGGGAGAGGTTGGTAGAGGTCAGTCCACGCGGGGCCTCATCAGTCATGTAGGGCGGTATCGTCTTGGTCCTAAAAGCTTTGGAAAGCCTTTAAAGGGCTTAAATCAGTGGAAGCTTAATGAGATATGAAGCCTTAACCTCTGTACAGTGTGGATATGAGTTGGAGGGAGTCAAAATGGATACAGTAGATCAGTTTGGAAACAGCGGCAGCGATCCAGACAAAAGCCAGTGAGTGAGGCGCGGTGTCGGGAAACGATGGTGCTGGTGGAGGCAGGAGACTGGGCGAGCCGGGGAGGGCCTTCTTCATGCTCCAAGTGGAGAGGCAGGGGACTGGGCGAGC